CACACACACACACACTCACACACACACACACATACACACAAACACACACACACACACAAACACACATACACACACACACACACACATGCATGCACAAACACACTCAAACATAATCACGCACAGAAAACGTTCAGTAACTATTGGTCACTTTCAAGCACAAGGAGGCTATTCCGAAAAATTCTGTTTTGAGAAAATCGAAGGTAAAATTTTTGCCCCTTGTTCAGTTTCTTTAAAAGACAAGGAGAGTTTTCTCCATAACCAAACATATACACACCAATGAAACCAAACTTCTCCTATAGGAAGGGCAATGCCCACTTTTGGTGTCGGTCAAGATTTCTGGAATCCCCCGAAATCTGAGTTAGTCCGCTTGTCCTAAAAAGCGAGCCTATCTCCCGTGCCCCAGCCCGTCCCCGTCCTCCTGATGGGTGAACTCAAACTTGTAGGACACTAAACATACCTCCAGATTTGTGTACCTTGGTATCCCAAGGGGAAATATTTTGGGCTGTACAGGACCATTAAAACACATGCAGGTATACATACAAATTTAAATTATATATAACTCTTATTAAATTTCAATAAGAAAAGAAAAGTAAAGCTGACAAAATGTATATATCACATCAGATGCATCATTCAACCACATGCAGGAATTTAATTACAAGACATTTGGAGTTATATAGATACATACTCTAAAGAACAGCACGCATCTATGCCCCACACCCAGTAACTATCTCACGTGCACCAGCCCGTACCCGTCCTCCAGATGTACACATACCCGTCCTCCAGATGTGTGAACTCAAACTTGTAGGACACGGAGAACACGTCAGGCGCCAGGCCTGTGACGTCACTGAGAAGCTTCACAAACTCCCGGTCCACGGTCTGGAAGTCGTTAGGCCCCAGTCGACAAGCCAGGTAGAAGGGGACAGACATCTCTGAGAGGGGTGGGGGTTGGGGGGTGGGGGGAGACTGGTACAGTTAGAGGACGCGATACAACAATAGTGACGCGATACAACAATAGTGACACGATACAACAATAGTGACGCGATACAACAATAGTGACGCGATACAACAATAGTGACGCGATACAACAATAGTGACGCGATACAACAATAGTGACGCGATACAACAATAGTAATCGATAGTACCAATGGGTGTGCTTGTATGACCAAAAAAACAACAACAAACAAACAAACAAAAAAGCAACGACGCAGCC